TTGCAACTCTCTTGCAAAAGTAAAAGAAACAGATGAAGACTGGGATATACATATACCTGCTATCTTATTTGCATATTGAACCAAGCGACATGCAACTACAGGATATACATCTTTTTAATTGGTATATGAACAACAAGCTATACTATCTATCGAAACTACTCTGCTGATAGAACTACAAGAAACAGATTAAGAAATATCATTAGAAAATAGTATCTTACAATAAGCATTTGAATTGATAGATGAGTTACCCTATCAACATAGTCAAGCTCGCAAAAATACTGACAAATCTCAGAAGAAGCAAAAAGTAAGATTTGACTCCAAGATTATACCAGAAGAATTTGAAATCAGAGACAAAGTTTAGATACAATGAAAAGATATCGAAGCATCCTGATCTGCTAAGTTCGAAGAGAAATGAACGGGACCATATATTATTAAAGCTAAACTAAATAACGGAGCTTATAAACTTTTGACGTTAAAAGGACAAACACTATTGGGATATTATAATAGTGATTGTCTTACCTGCTACTATGAGAAACAGAATTGGTAACCCACTGTTGTTATCGAAACTTAACAATTTTCTTACTCAATATTTTATAACAATCAATTTATTATTTATTTATTTATTATTTATTATATAACTTTATTATCATTATTTTGTTACAATTAATTAGATTTAAATTTTATTTTATTATTATTATTTATTTACAAAATATTACAAAAATAATTTCTATTACTATTTTCTCGAACCCTCCTCCTTAATTCTTGTACTTCCTCCTCCAAGTTCACTACCCTAACCCTTAATCTATTCCTTTTGATAGTAATATTCTGAAGCTGAGTCTCTAGGAAAAATCTTTCTCTTGCTGCTTCTACAACCGGAGAATTCCTCAAAGATAATTCTGTTTTCAAATTTATAACTTGGTTATTCAAAGTAACCAACCGACCATGGACTGAACTTTCTTTCTTGTAACGAGGCATCTAAGACACAAAGTTAATTAGCAATCACAGATTTCTAAATTCATAACTTAAAAAATAATAAAAGAAAACAATTGGAAAGACCCTTATTCCAAAAATACAACAAGTAAGGTCTATTACTTGCTGTACCAATAGAGATAAATTCTATCCTACTCGCACAAAAGACCATGAGTACCGAAGAAAAAGAAAAAAGACAAAGGGAAAAATATCTATTTAGACCAAATACATAGCGCACCAAAGTAGAAGACCAGCCAAGCCTCCAAGTGCCTAATAAGATGGAACTCAGTGCACAGCCAGAACAAGTATACATATCTTCGAATGACAGCAAGATAAACAAAAAAAACAGATGGGACAAAAGACAATAGTTTTTCGATAAAACAACAAGAAGGAAAGACGAAGATATTAGAAAAAGTTAGAACCAAGAAAAAGGGAAAAGACAAGAAAGATAAAAACCAGAAAGTTGTGAATAGAAGATTTTTGAGATACGACGAATACCAAAAATCAAGGAATAAATAAAGAAAAACATCTCTAACCCCACAGAAAGGATCACATGATACCTGCAGAAAAACAATCACCTTCGACAATGTAATTGCTAAAACAAAAAATTCATAGACAATTAAAACAAATAAGAGCTAATTTTAGATAAATTAGCACATGTAGTTCAAAGACTTCACTTTTTAAGGGGACAGACAGACAAAGAATTTTTAATTAATAAAACATTGTAGAAAATTTATTTTTAGAACCAGACACATGGTTGAACAAAAACTTGTTTAACAAACTGAGTAGACAAAGACATTACTATATGGAATACACAAGCAAACAATCTGCAAATCTATTAATTTAATTCGTATTACTATAGATATTATAAATAGAAACCTCTTTACCCCCAAATATCTGTTTCTTAATGATTAGTTGTTCTAAAAACAGAAATATCTAACCTGACTTCTAAAAAAAAAAAAAAAAAAAAAATGAAAACTCCTACCCCACAACAATTACAGCCCCAGACTATGATCGCTTTAAGTAATTTCCTTGTACTTTGGAACCAGGATCCCCTTGCAACAAATAATAGCCTGACTATTATCGGAAATTCTATTGTTGTATACAATGAAACAGATATTGTTACATCATTACAATTCTTATGAGAAACAGAACTAAAGTTACCTACCCAATATTTGGACAATGTTGATGTATTAGAAAATTATTTTCCAAATATAGACTTTGATGATATTACTTTCTCTATCAAACCTATAGAAGAAGAATCAGCTGATTACTCTACACAACAAGATACAGAAACTTCACAAACCCAAGAAGTAGAAAATAAAGTCCTTACCCAGCTTATTGAAGATTTCACAAAAGAGAAAGATGAAGTTTTTCTACAACAAAACCCTTTGACCAAAATAACTTTTAAGGGAAAACTTCGAGAAATTATTAAACGCTTAAAAGAAGAGAGCTGTGGAAAGTCATGTGATCAACAAATTCAAATTCTAGAAACTTCTTATTATCTAGGACAGCTAAAGAAAGAAGCTGATAATAATAACTGGAAGATCCAGAAGATTAAAGAAAACCTTAGCAAAACCTTAGAATCACAACGTGCTGCTAGAGCATGGAAATGTGCTAACCAAATTTATCAACTCCTCCAAGTTTGTGGACTACCTCACCTCTATTCCACTATGACGATTACCTATACTAATTTGGAAGGATTAAAAGAAGAAGACTTTACGATGCTATTAAGTGAAGTTAGAATTTACGGAGTTCATTCTTAAAGGGACAGAAATGTTATAGAATGAGTTTTCTAAATTTCTTATTATTAGTATTAATTAATATTATTATTAGTATTATTATTATTATTATTATATTCTATTGTTATATTATTATATTATCATGTAATATTATTAAGTAGTTTCGTGTAATGTGATGAATGGAAAGAATGGTTACCATTTTTACCATTTCTACTATTTTTACCATTTCTACCATTTCCACTATTTCTACCATTTCTACTATTTCTACTATTTCTACTATTTTTACCGTTTCTACCATTTCTACCATTTCTACCGTTTCTACTATTTCTATCATTTCTTATTATTTATATTAGTTTTATTAGTTAGGAAAAAGGTATATAAATCCTGGCTTTTCTCCTTCCTGCCAAATAAGAACTCAGACACCCCTCTAGATACAAATACCCTTTAGTTATAGGAAATTATAACTTGTAATTAGAGTCTTATATTATAAATAAAATATATCTTTCTTTAAACTATATACTTTCCACGAACTGCTCTTAGTGAAGTTACATTCCACTTTCATACTGCTATAATCTCGCAACAGAGCTCTATAGCTGTATGCTTTGTTACTTGTGCTGTATTAAAAAGACTACAGTCTACTTGTAATACCATGTTCAAGTGATCTATTTTACT